CTGAGCATAAAATATCTTAAAGCATATTGCAGGCTAACTGATGTGTCATAGTCTCAAGAGTTTTAGCTCCCATCCTGTGGCAGTAAGACACAGACAAGGGCCCTTCAACTTTTGAAAATAAAACCTCCAAAACAGAAAAAAACCCCACCGTCACCAAAGACAATCTCTACATGAGCAAATTTTCCGCACAATGCAGAAAGAATCCACACACTCTCTACAACTTTACAGTGTCATGGGGCAGTATTTTCTGTGAGCATCTAACAAAAAATAAAGATTCTGAAGCTTACAAAAACTGTAAATACCACAATTTCTTCAAGTATAAAGTAGCTTAATCCAGTGTTTGCAGGATACCATGAAAGCACAGAGACCATCAGGTAATATCTGATTTACCAGATATTCTGATTTATATACAGAAATCAAGCTCTAATCACACATACTGTAATCTGAACTGAAAAGATACATATAACTGATGTCTGTTTTTCAAGCAAAGGAAGTCCATGAAGCTTCAAATGGGTACCTTTAATCTCTTAACAACACCTTGGGGAATTCAGTATGTAGTTTAATGCAGTTACTCATCTGTGACATTAAAAACAATCTACTACAAGAAAAAGCAGAAATTACAAGTAACAAGTTTTTAGTTTTCTAGACTTACTGGGAAAAGGAACATTCATGTCTGCATGTAACATTTCAATGAGCTGTGCAGTCTTAGAGCCAGGAGCAGCACACATATCTAGAATCTACAAATATAAGAAAATTTTAAAAATTCCTGCCTTACACTTTTCCAATACTTGAGAAATTTACTATGTTCTTGTTTAAATTAGGTATTTTTGAATATGCAGAATTATGAATATTCTGAACAACAATTTGAGAAGAACAAAGTACAATTCTGATTCTTGTATGCTTTACGTTTAAAGATTGAAAATAAAAAGGACTTTACTTTGTAGGGAACAAAAACATCAGCTGAAATAAAATCTGAAAGAGGAACCTGAATACAGATCTGGGGATATTATCTTTTTTATCAGTTCACAAAAAATTCCAAATTAAGTTATCTGCAATGTTACATATATATTGAAGACAAAGTTACATTCAAGAGCAAACAGTACTTTTCTTTGAACTATTAATAAATTAATTGGATACAGTTTTTATAAAAATGATTTGTTGTCCCTCCCCACACATTTACATTTCAATGTAAAAAATCGGGGCAGTATAGTCTCCTGCTTCATTATCTTGGAAGAAACACTTAGGAAGTGTTTGAACTGCCCTGAGGCAGCTGAACACAACAGCAGAGACACCAACACCTAAATTTTAGTGTATTTCTCCCTCCTAATTAATCACTAACTTGGCTTGAGATAGAGTTATTGGTAGAGTCACTTTCACAGCAAAACAACTGACATCTCACACTGTTCTCTTAAGCAAGAAAGCTTAGAGCCTTTCATCTTGCCTAAGCATAGATTTTCAGAAACATACGTCTAGCTCCTGGACCTTTGGCTCCAGTAAAAATCAGCTGAGATCCTGCAATAGGATAAAAGATGGGAACGATCTGCTCAGATTCTCATGCGAGCCCCCAGCATGAACAAGACCAAGCCAGAAGACAGACCCCAGAGAAACACAAAGAGAGCTCCAGGCAATGTGTGCCAAGTGCTGTCGTGCAGCAGTGCTAACGCATCATGAAGCACACCCTGCAAGAGAGTATCGAATCTGCTGTTTAAATTAAGAGATGTGATGCTACTGTTTTCTACTTTTGCAAATAATGCAAAAGATGATGAAGAATGCACAAGGCTAAACACATGCTAAAACTGTCCAGGAAATTGATGGTGGAGGAAAACTAAATGGAAAAATAGATTTAAAATGAACACAGCTATGGGAACGTTTGACAATCATTAATTTTATCCTTGTGGAAGACAGAATCAACATGTTAAACTTGGCATACAGAACATGCTGGTTAAGCAAAAGTAAGCTGCAATTCTGGTCCTAACAAGCAGCTCCTAAGCTAAGGCACTAAGGACCATGAAAGGTCCTAAATGAGAAGTCAGGGCATCATTACATCATTAAACATTTGCTGTTTTGGCACAAGAGAGAATAAAGAACCTATTCTTAATCTGATTTATGAAATCTTACATGCATTTCTGGAAAATGCTGCAGTACTCATCCAAAATGAAACATTCAATGTAAAGCCTATATACTGCTAGCTTATCATATAAATGTAAGGTGTGTGCAAAAATATCCCCACAATTTGTGTTTTACATTAAGATGAATGTGTTCACCACCTGTTCAATTCCAGACAAAAATCAAAATACACTTGTGACACATCAGGACTGAGACTTTCAATTTAAAAGAGATAAGAAGACCTTGTCTCACATAAAACAGCATATGACATAGCTGTCATACACTGGGTTGGGTGAAAGTAGAAGAAAAAAAGGTGAAAAGTTATGTATGCTAAGTACTGCTAATATAAAAACTGCATACAAAGTATTCTTTAAAACACATATTAAAAGTTCGATAAACATAAAAATTTAGATACAGTATGAAAATTTAAGAAAGAAGAACACAACGTGGCTGTTGAGATAGCAAGGCAACTAGCTCATTAATGAAAACATCACAAAGTCAGAACAGAAAGTCTGCTACCAGATATGCTCATTCCTGTGGTATGCCCTAAGAAAAGACCATGGGCATTCCTCACACACTTCAGTTAAAGTTAGCACCCTATAGTGTTTAGCCACCACCAACAGCATGTCTCAGCTCACCCAAAATAATTTATCTAACAGATTATTTATAGAGTAGAATTTTTCAGCTTCTTTAAAAGGCATAGAGGACCGAAATATACAAGGTAGGGAATATTATCACTTGCATCTTGAAAACTACATCTATTCAGTGTGATGGAGAGAGGAAGTTAACAACAGTTACGTTACTTTAAATGCAGGTTGTAACAAGAACACAGAACTCAGATGCAGCTAAACATATTTACACTTTGAAAATAAGACTATGCAACTGCTTAAAATCAAAGTGTCTTTTGCATGATATTGCACACAGCTGAAAAAGTAGATGTTCCTCTGATAGTGTTTTTGTGATCTGAACATTAGCTGAGTGTAGCTGTTGATGTGCAGAAAGCATAAAATGTACCAAGATGAAACAGAACCGTGTATCAGCCCTGATACTGCTCCTGTGATTTGTAATTTCATTTGAGCTAATTTCAGGGAAAAAACTTTAGTACACATTATACTCTAGATTTACCTTATGATGAGGGCTAACATTAAGCAGCAGAGGTGGGATCATACTAACAGCTTCCTGACGACTGATGTTTCCCTTGAAAGGCAAAAAGAAATTAAATGTCCATGAATGCATTTCTTCTGCAACAAAACTTTTAAATTGCTATGTAATAAAAAAAAAAGCAGTCAGCAACACACTACTATAAACTCAGTATTAATTATTTTAGAATTTAACAAAAAAAATCACAGTATTTCACCCAATTGTAATTTCTAAGAATTGTATATTTACTCCATTTATATTAATTCTGCAGTTTTGCTCAAAATAGAGGAGAAACTAGCTTGAATCAAGTGACAAATATCCATCACTTAAGTGTTGTCATGCCCATGCATGCACTTTTTACCAGGTTTAAACACTTGGTTTAAACCTGGTAAAAACCTGATTATTTTACAGGGATTCATTTTAACATCTCCAACAACAATAAAAAAATACAATTAGTTTAGAAAAACATCTGTAGCTGCAGTTATGCACTAGAATCATTGGATGCATCACTGCCAACTGCACGAAAAAATCCAGATTCTTCTGAGCCACTCAACTTCTGAGAGAAAAGGTAGATTCTCCATCTTTCATAATGTATTTCAATAAAACATTCCTCAGGATATGCCAGAAAAAAAATCAAGATCTATCCGAAACTTACACATTCTGTCTCGCTAACCAGAAACTGATGAAACTTTTCCAGCTGAGGGGACTTGCGTAAGATTTTTCTACTCAAGTTAGTGTGCCAGGCTAACTCTTCAGGATACCTGGTGGAAAAGAGACGGGAAAAGAACAGAGGCGGAAGAAAGAGACCAATGAGCCAGGCTGGTTGCCGGAAACATGCAGAATGCCTAGTGTCGCCTCCAGATCACTCACCAGCTCAGCGACTGCGGCATCTCGACTTTCTGGCCATCCACCTCCAGGTCCTGGAGCTCTCGGAAGTACTTTTCTTTCAAGCAGTGGAGAATCTCTCTGGCGTGGCTGCATGCGAGAGACACCCGGAGGGACACCGGATGGAGAATCACGCAATCACAGATCGGCCCGGGTTGGAAGGAGCCTTAAGGACCGCGTGTTCCCACCCCGTGCCGTGGGCGGGACACCTCGCCGGGCGGCTCTGGCAGCCGCTGTCCGGGAGCCCCAGCCCGTACCTGCGGTAGCCGGTGATGCGCAGCGTGGCGGGCAGCGGCTCCCGCAGCGCCGCCATGAACGCGTCCCACTCTCCGGCGGGCACGATGCCCAGCTCCCGATAGTACCGCTCGAACAGCTCATTCTCCTTCACGATCTCGGGGTAGCCGCCGGCCCAGCCCTGAAGAAAAGCGCCACCGCCGTCAACCCGGCGGTCCCGGCGCTCCCCGCCCCACTTCACCGGTCCCGGCGCTCCCCGCCCCACTTCACCTGCCCCGGCCCGGCTCTCACCGCCTGGTCCCCGCCTCCGCCCCGCTCCTGCCGCTGCTGCTGCTGCTGCCGCCGGCGGTCCCGCGCCCTGCGGCCCATGGCAGCCAGGCGGCGGCCGAGCCGCGCCACCAGCCCCGCCGTCGGGAGGAGCGGCCGCTCCCTCCGCTCCCGCTCCCTCCGCTCCCGCTCCGGCCGGCCCGGGGCACCGCGCGGCGGCCGCGTGCTCCCGGCGCGCAGGCGCAGACCCGCCTTCTCCCGGCGCCGCTTCCCGGCGGAACTTCCCGAGCGCCCGGCCCGGCCCGGCCCCACCCACAGCGGGCGGGCGGGGGCGTGGCGGGGGCGGGGCGGCGGGGGTCACGCCCCGGCGGCCGCTGGCGGTGCCAGATGAACCGGGGCGGCGGAGCACGATGGGGGCTGCTGGCGATGGCGGCGTGTGCGCGCTGTGGCGCCGGCTCGAGGGCCCCGAGGAGCGGCGGCTGCTGGAGCTCTTCTCCTACGGGCTGATGGCGGTGGGCGCCGGCTCCGCCCTGCTGCTGTGCTTCATCCCCATGCCCTACGGCCGGTACTCCTCGCGGCGCTTCGGCTGGCTGCTGCCCGCCCGCCCCGCCTGGGCGCTGCAGGAGCTGCCCTCGCTCCTGGTCCCGCTCGGGCTCGCCGCCTGCGGCGGGGCGGTCGCGGCCGCCCGGCCCAACCGCGTCCTGCTGGGCTGCTTCCTCCTGCACTACGTGCACAGGTGCGGGGTCGGGCGGGGCTGGGCGGATGGCCGGGGCTCCCTGCCGTGCTGGAGGCAGGAGAAGGGATCGGTCTCCACAGAGATCCCTGCTTGCTGCTTCCCGACCGAAGGGGTTGAGGTTCTGTTAATTAGCGTTTGTTACTTAATGTAATAGTTCCTGACGTCTCTTTTGCTTCGCTACGCTAAGGTATGTCCTGTGTCGTTACGGTATCTGGTAAAGAGCTGTGGCGATGCGGTGCCGGCTCATTGCGTGCGCTGTGCTGCGCACTGCGAAGCTCCGGTGTGCAGACGGAGCGCTCGGGGCTCTCAGCGCGCCGCTCCATCCCTGCGCGGCTGCGCCTCGTGGACACTCCCCCTTCAGCAAGGGATTGACCAGGCTATATTAAGGTCACTGTGTTACAGCAAGGAAAGTTCAGCACCGTGTAGTGATATAATCTTGATGTTGCTAAACAATAGCTATTTTCTACTTATATTGTTCAACATTGTCTTTCAACATAGCATTTGTTGCAGGAGTTGGACTGGATGAACCTTGTGTGTTTCCTCCAGCTCAGCATATTCAACAATTCATTAAAATATTGGCAAAGCTGAGGCTGAGTGCCCTATGTTGCCAGGTAGTCAATAGTATTCAGGCATTTTGTAAAAATACTTGGGAGAAAGAGCTTAGTTGGAGCCCAGGTGTGATCTTGCTGCTCCTTTCAAGTCATGGACAGTAGCCACTTGTCATACTCCACAAGGAAATTTGCCTCCAAGACAGGAGGGTTAGATTTGTCAGGTTTATTTTAAGCCACTTGTGTGACGGATATGTTATTTTCTGGTGCTTATTGAGAAAAGCTCTTGCTTTTGACTAAGAGTATTCCAACAACCTTGTGGTAGGGAGGTATATGACATATGGTTGGCCTGGAGGCTGCCTTTGAAAACCTGTAATTGTGTCTTTGCTCCCCCTTTTTCTATTCGTAAGTATAAAGACATTAGCTTTTACATGGGATCTTAACTTATGCTTGATGTCTGGGAATAGCTAGGAATGTGAGGCAATTTCTTTTTTTCCAGTTGCTTGTTGCTATTGCCAAACTCAAGGGACTCTTCTGTAGGTGAACGTGAACTGGAAGAACGTTCTCTGTTATCTAATTCCGTTTGTTGTAGCATTGCATGCTTTAAATAATCCTGTAATGAATTTGTTCCACTTTCTTGAAAGCGATTAGAATTGGACTTCCTTTGGAAGGGTTATTTTGAATCAGTTGTCCTTGGGTAGGTGGAAGACATGTGAAGAATGCTCAGGTTTCAGTGATCCTGCTTCTGTATCATTCTAGATCATAATTAAATCAATAGACAATTGGGAGTTGGCTAGTTCCACAAGAAAGAGCACAAGATTATTCACCTGCTCTTCTTGTTTGGAGCTAGTTTGTTTACTTGCATAATCCCCCCAGGAAAAGCAATCAAGATTCCTTTCCCAAATGAGATGGCAGTTGTGGGATTGTCATGTCTTTAGAGGTGTCATAGAGTAGACCAAAGCTGTCAAGGTGAAGCAATTAATGGTTTTGCTTACAGGGTAGGGAGGAAATTGAGGTCAATTAAATTAATTTAAAGGGGATTAACTTTCCCCGTGGAAATGCTGGGGGAATTTAGTGGAAGGGTCCTCATTTCATCTCAGAAAGCTTAATGATACAACTGAGGATTTAGGAACAAATATGGACTGTACTTAATATCAGTTGTCTTTATTTCTGTCACCAAAGTAATTGCTTTGGATGCAAAGTTCAAAATTTCTGCCATACGGTAGAGAGGACTGGTCTTGTGATTCCAACTAGGGAAAAAAAAGAATGTTTTAGATGTTAAAGCAAGTGCAGCTATCCTTTCAAACAGACACCAAGGGCTGGTGCTGAGAATTTGTAAAGTAGGGTAGTGTGAACAATGTTTAGGCTTCAAAACTGTCTTTTTTTGGTGGTTAATACAATATATTTTCTTTTCTTTGTTTTCTGTAGGGCACTCATCTTTCCTCTTCTGATCCGTGAAGGAAAACCAACGCCATTTTTCACTTTTGTGTTAGCACTTCTGTTCTGTGTTTTCAACGGGTACTTGCAGGGCCGAAGCTTAACCACCTATGCAACTTACCCTCCAGGCTGGCTGGGCGATTCACGCTTCATTACAGGTGACTTAAATCATGTTATGTGAACATCAGGTGTAATTTTCCTCTGTCTTCACAGCTCGTAATTTTTTTATTGTGATTTTCGGTATCTCCATTTTCTCATTGGTATAGCTGAAGGCTTTTTAACCTGTGAACTCGCACTTCTTTCTGCAGTGCTAGATGATCTGATTGTTGTCTTTACTCTCTAATAGCCAAGTAAATCCAGGTCACGTATTTTTTCTTTCTTGTAGAAGCTCGAAGCCCTACAAGGAAGCAGCAGCATGCAAGTTTAGAAGCAAAACTTTTCTGTGTAACATGTAGATTAAACCAAAGTAACGAATTTGTGGAGTAAAAAATCTAGCAAAGATAGCTGCTAACTACTGACATACCGTGGTAAATGCTAGAAGTCCTTGGTGTCAGGATATCTACACTGAATATACACACAGGAACCAATCCAGCCGCCCTTGTAATTGGGGGGTGGCTTTGTCAAATGACAAAACTGGCCCCACAAGGAAGGAGTGGAAAGGTTGATCATTCACTCCCAATTGGGAAGTGAGGTTACATTTATACTTGAAGCAATGGATATGATTAAAGGACTAAGGTATTTAGTGACAGAGTTTACTCAATTTTTTTTTGTTTCCTAGGCATCTACTTTTGCCTAATGTCAAAATGATAGTATCATTTCCCAATTAAATCTTTACAGAAAGATCATTTTCATCTGAAGATAAACCAGAATATTTTGCCTCATCAGTCAAAGACAGAGTACTGGACTGTATAGATCCTTGATCTGAGTTGCTACCCTTCTTTTTCTAATTCTGTAGCCAGAGCAAGTTAGTCGTTCTCCTTTATTTCTCAAGCCTTTTACAACAACAACAAAAAAAAGATATTTTCTGGCTTTAGTCCAGTGTTATTTTGGATGACAATAGAGGACAACTGTGCTGAATACTGTCATGAATATAAGATTGAAGAAATTTCAATATAAGTAGGTTCTCTTGCCAAGATTAGGAGGCAGTTCTGTTTGTGCACTAAAAATAGAAAAATTGAGGTACAGGGGAATGACTTCAGAGGGCACTAGAATATATTTGAAATTTTCTTGGTCATTTAAAATTTCCACTTTCCTTAAATCAGAATCCAGCAAAGGAAAAAAAAAAAGATTAATATATTTCTTGATCAAAACTGTTGAAGACTGAAGCCAGGCAGGCTCTGTTTTCAGTACCTTAGTTGAAAGATATCTCAATACAGTGCTGTGAATTAATGATGAATAAGATGCTATAAATCAGTCCATTCTTAATCAAATCAAGAAATCAAAAAAAATCAAGTTAATAAGACTTGTTGCTCAAGTTTCTTTGGGTTCTTTTGGGTGGGTTTTGGTTTTTTTAAAGTTTCAAGGATTTCTGAAAGATGCCAATGTATAAATGACAATAGTTAGGTTCATCTGCTTTCATTTATGAATACTTCTATGCATGAATTAATTTGGTTTGTATTTGTGGTTTTGTTTCTTTGTTTTTTTTTCCCAAATAATACCAGTTTGAAGTATATGCTTATATATATTTCTAGTACCACTAAGTGGTACTGGAAGTGAAGTGTTGCTCTGGTGACTATTGGTAGTCAATATAATGCTTTAAGAAGTTATCCTGAAAAATATGGAAGTGAATATTCCTGGTATACATATCAACCACTTTTAATAGTGTGACCACTAATGATTTTTTGAGATTGTAATTCCAACAAATCTTGAGATAAAATTTGGCATGCCCATTAAACAGCTAAACTGAAGACTTTATTTTTTTCCTTTTTTTTCTCCTATAATTAGAATATCTTTTGGATTTTTTTTTTTTGTTGTCGTTTTGTAGTGTATACCAACATAATTGGATCTTAGCAATTTATAATTGACTTTGGTATTCATCCCAGCTGGGAACCTCCAAATAACTGCAATTTATGCTTATGGCTTTGGTCAAAGCAACTGCCAAAATGAAATATTGTACACTGGGTACTCCCTGAACAACTGGACTATTATGTTCTAGTACTTAAAAAATACCTGGCAGTGTCTTTAAACTTCTGTTTAAAATTCCTATAAGAAAAATTACTAGAATATTAGAAAATAATAATAGCAAGAAAACATATTTCCTGGTAGTTAATATGGTATTTCTTAAGCTGTATGAAGTTATATGTGAGAGTGTCTACAAGGGGCAGCCAACCAAGGTTCAATATCTGGAAGCTGAAATGAGATAAATTTCCAGTGAAGACAGAAATTTAAAGAAGTCAGGCTGATTAACTATTGTAGTGAGAAGTTTCGAACAAGTGATGTGTTCTCTGACTGTGGAACCTTATTATATAATTTGTCTGTTTTGGGGAATACAAACTTAGATTTACAGAAGCAATTGATTTGGAGCATGAATATAGTTTTGATGTGATTTCCTCATAGTTTCCTTCGACTGTGTTTTGGTTTAGTTCAGAGCAGTGAACTGTTTGTTTTCAGAGGAAACAGGAATGTTCTGCTTCAAATGCAGAACCATGAGCTTGCAAACCAAGAACAACACCATAATCTTTCATCATAAACCTTACACCTGCATGCCAATAAAGAGCTTATATGAATTTACCAAGAGAGCTGGTGGTATCCTGAAGTGGTGACTGCTACAAACAGGGACAGCAACACCTCTGTGCCTCACCCTTGTGTCCTTTCCTAATCTCTCTGCACTTTTAGTTGAAAACTAATTTCTTCCTTTACTTGCTTTAGTTTCTTCAAACCCTTTGCAGCATACCATGTGTTTTCTTACTCCTTTAAGTCCCTATTCAACTAATACTTTTGAATGTAGAGGGTTAACTCTTTTGTGCATCAAAACACTTTTTAGTAGCAGCTCTGCAAAGCAGAACAGCACCTGTAACTCACAAGGTGCAGGTTACAGAACATCAGCACCTCAACTGTTGCATGAAACTTTATCTGGCAATGAGGCAATTAAGAACATGTGTCACCTGTGCTCTCTTCACACATCAAACCTGAAGAGCATTTATTCGTTGTTCAAATCTGGTTATAATCTTGTGGGCAGGGGATGTGGGTTACAAGTGTCTTTCCTAATATGGATAGGTACCTGGATGCTCCAGATTGTGTCTTGTTAGAAAAACTAATCACAGAATCTGAGATGAGGCACTTGTTAACCTCAAAACATAGACCTTATATGTTCCTTATCAGCAGGCAATGCTGCCTTCAACAGAAGATAACATAGGCAACATGTTGCAATGGGATAAAAATAATTTCAGTCCTAAATTCCTTTTGATTTATCCTACCCTCATGGCAACATAAGGATGCAGAATGTGACAACAATGTCAGTTTCTGTGAAAGGCTATAATAAACGGCTAAAGCATTTACGTGCTGAATGGGACGAGTAAATGGTACATTAATTCTTTCACAGTTGTATTCCTTTTATTGCACAGAAATCTGTTGGGGAAATTTTGATATACTATCAGTAAAATAGTAAAAGGAGAATGGGGCTAAGATGTGTCCCTCTGGGAAGATTAAAAATGGCTGTTTCTTTCAGTGTGTAAAATTTTAGCATATTTGCTTTTCTATGTCAAAGTTAGGGAAACATACACATTACATCTGCGTATATGCACATACATACATATATGTAAGTCTAGCAACATAAGAATAAACTTCAATTTTACAGTGCTAGTTCCCATTTAGGAAGCTGTTAATACTGTGATCCCTACTGATTGAAGAGTGCAGTGTGGGACTGGGACTGTGCAGAATGTCACCAGAACCGTTAATGCTGCTTACATTACTTCTGCTTTGAGACAATATGTCTAATGTGATATCTGAGTGTAGTTTGTTTTTCTGAACAAACACAGTACACTAAATGTAGTATTTTTAATATTTCTCCTTAGGTTTTTTAGGATGGTTGATTGGCATGGCCATCAATATTCATTCTGATCATATTCTCAGAAATCTGAGAAAACCAGGGGAAACTGGTTACAAAATACCAAGAGGTAAGTAAAATGGTACAGAAATTAATACAAAAAAAGAACTATCTCTCATATAAGAAGAGGTGGAGAGAACTTGGACTGTTGAGACTGGAGAAGGCTCAAGGGAGATCTTACCAAAGTTTATATATTACAAAGAAGAGAGAACCAGGATCTCCTCAGTGGTGCCTAGTGACAGGACCAGAGGCAGTGGACACAAAATTCAAGCACATAAAATTATATCTGAATTTTTTTTTTAACAGCATTGCCCAACTTTTCAGAGAATCAGCAGGTGGGTGGAGAAGAAAGATCTAAATTATTAACTCGGTGTAGGAGCAGGAGGGGAATGAAGAAAGTACTCAGCATGTGACCCATCTCACGTCTGATATAAGAGGGAGGTACCTAAAGTAATTGGAGAACAGCAAGAATTTTGAAAAGGGAGACACAGGGAAAAGAGGACAGAAATCTAAATTAATTTGCCATTGTAAATTCTAGCCTTCATGGGAAAATGAAGAATGTGAAAGGCTTTCTTATGGAGCCTATATTGAAGTGTTAAGGTTTATTATCACTTTTGGAAACGGGCACTCTTCTGGGTACATTACGCTCACTGAGAGCAGAAAGATAATACTACCTCTGAATTCTGTTATCTCACTACATTTTTTTTCTTAGTTGTTGCTTTTTCTTGGTTGTAATTTTTTAAATAAAACTGTAAGAACTAAGATATACAAGACAGACTGTTATTTTTCACCAAGAAGAAAATAATTATAATTTTAATAGATGTAAATTAAAGTGCTCATGTAAAAAATGAATATGAACATACTATACTGTGTTCAGTGTACAAAATGGTTCCGAAGGAACTATGTTATTTGCTGTAAGATCAGGAGAAGGTAATCTTTTTGATGTTGCTTATCCAGCTTAAGTGCTAGAATTTCACTTTTCTCACAAAAGTAGTGTAATTAGAGCACGGTCAAAATACATCCTTTATTACATTTGCCAAATACCTGTGTGTTTAGCCCCACTGGTAAAGCATATGCTGAGATGTTATCCATTTGTACACCAACTTTGGAATTAGGGTGAAATTCTTAATTTATGAAATTCCCAGCAGCTGAGTACCAATTGTTTATGCACAATTGTCCATACAATTGATTTAACAGACTGCCAAATTATCACCGAGTGTAGAAGCTGAAACAGCACATCTGATGAGGAATGGGAACAAAAGTGCAATTACTTTGTAAGCTAGAGAATAAATTTGGAACTTGATAATAATAGTATTGTTCATAATTAACTTATTTTCTAAAGTACTTAAAGAAATTTAAAATTGTAGGCTAACTTACCCTATGAGTATTTTCTGGGACTCAAGGGGAGTATGTCTTCTATTTCTACATATTTTAAAAGGTTTTAGTGTACGATAAAAGAATATGTAATTATTCAAAAGGCATGTACTTGCTTCTGATGCTAGTAAATCTGCTTTTCCTTCTTTATTTAAAGAGGAAAAGTGGAGCTACAAAAGGTCTGTCTTAGAATGAGGTCTGAAGTGATCCTTCATAGTACAGCTTGAACTGAAAAATGCTGTCTCCACTGCCTTTAAAGATCAAATAGAGATATTAGTAATATAGCTCCTACTTGGTACACAGAAAAGGTAACATTGAACATCTTGACTAAGGTATTTTGAAGTAACTCTGTCCTGCTTTCAGGAGGAATGTTTGAGTATGTCAGTGGAGCCAACTTTTTTGGAGAGATCCTGGAATGGTTTGGGTTTGCCCTTGCCTGCTGCACCATTGAAAGCCTTGCATTTGCATTGTGTACTCTTTTCATCCTGGGTTCAAGGGCAAGACAGCACCACAAGTAAGTGTTCCTGGCTTGTCAATTCTGTTGTCTATGCCCCACTACATTTCCATTTCACAAATTATGCCTCATCCTACAGGGATGTTGCAGAACAAGTCTTGTGAAAGAGACTGCTGCTGTAGGGCAGAAAATTATAGCAAATAGTCTGAGAAGATTAAGTACTGCAGAATTTCAGCAGAATAGTGCAGAGCATAAACACAGTACAACAAGGTGGTCAAATAATGTTTAAATGAAGATAGTACATCCTGGATCTGTAAAGATTATAGACAAGTTTATCAATATCTGTAAATTAATATCTACAAGTTTATAAAATACTATACTTTCTGTTCTCAAACTTGTTCCTCTAAGATATAAATTTTTGAAAATCACCCAAGCTGCCTTTAACAGGCACACTTTATAATCATGTCTGTATCATATTGTCTATAATCAATTGTATGGACATTATGAAAACAGATCTGATAGATGATATTTAATGAAGTCTCTGCTCTAAACATTCTGACTGCTCATGTACTGTATTTATGATGTAGCTTTCCTGCTAACAAGAACGACCATAGTTTGGGGAGACTTGTTTCCTAAAAGGATTCTCATTAAGGAATAGCATGCTTAAAAGAATTTGAACATGTTAATTTTATTTTGGTTATTTTCAGCTTCCTGCTTTGGTTGTCATGTTGAAATTTAGTGGCATAAGAGGAAATAAACATGAATTTAGGAGGAAATTGGTTGAAAAAAGATACTGACCATCTGTGAGGGCAACCATGTCTATGTCTTATGGAGTCATAAAAACCTCCAGAAATAGAGGTTTTCCTGCCCATTGTTTGTAGGGTGTTCTGGGTCTGTAATACCCTCCCAGTGAACGAGTTTCTTCCACTGTCCAACCTGAGCCTTCCAAACCTATTGCCTATGACAGTCTCTTCCTGTTTTGTCACCTGCTATTAGTGAGCAGAGTTGCAGAGTATCTTGAGTTGGGAGGAGCGTTTGAAGGTTGTGGTGTCCAGTCAACTGCTGTGTGGCAAACCACAAGGCTCAGGGCTAATCCCTGAGTTGAGTTCTGAGTGTCTCCTCCTTGCCAGATGAAGCAAGGACAGGTTCTCCTGCCTCTCCTTGTATACTACGTTCTTCAGGCTCAAATTCCATGGTTGGTTTCCATCAATCTTAAGCCTTGATGGACCTCGTTCAGAACATCATGAAAAACTAATGGTTTTTAAAGGAATTTTTTTTACACTAAAGGAAAAATGCATGAAAATGGAATAGGGGCACAGGACAAAACCACCAAGCAACTGAAAAGAGCAAATCCATGTAAGTGAAGAAACATGTTAGTGTAGTTTGTTCATTTAAAAAACTCAGAATAAATAAGTGAAATGGATTAATAGGTTAATAATTATTCCCTAGATGCAGGTTATTGTGCATTGCATGTTTTGTTCTGTTTATTCCAGTTTTGATTTTGCAATTAACTATTGATTTTATTAATATCCGCACCGTTGAGTAGCCCAGGTGAACTTAGTTCTTTTATTTCAGAGAAGCAGAACAATAAATATTCAAAAATGGGAGTAAACATGCTTGTTATGGAAGCATGTTATGGAAGGTGAAAACACAAATAATATCTGATAGTGCTCTGCATTTTTTTGTCTGGATTTGAAAATAGTGATGATCTTTGAGGAGTGTTAGCAATACGGCAAGTGCAATATTTGTCATGTTCAGTTTGATTACCCAAATTCTAACTGCAGCCAAATACGTTTCTATGCAGAATGGGACTCTCATTCCAGTGTGTGAAGCATCCCTTGCTTATTATGCAATGACATGTTTTTGATTTTTTTCTCCCTCTAATTCTAAAATGTGTAAATTCTCAGTATGTGCAATACCATACATTTTGCAAGAATGGCTAATTCCTTTACTGACATATCTCACCACATCTGTTGGTTTGATTTCCCATTGCTGGTAGCTAGTTATATTTGGTGATTAGTTGTTATTAGGGTGGGTGCAGTAAATGCCATTTTTCTATCTAGAATAGGTTATAGAGGCTTTTTTTGTTTGTTTGTAGACAAAAAAGGGTATGGATTAAATTAAACACATTGTGCAATTATTTCATTTCTTCAGCAATGTTTTGAAGACTCAATACTCATCAGATTTTTCTTTGTTTTTCAGATGGTACCTTGAGAAATTTGAAGACTATCCAAAGGACAGGAAAATTGTCATCCCATTTTTGTACTGAGCTGTGCTTTTAACACTTTGAGATGAATGCTTTTAGTAACAGCCAGCATTTTACAGATGCTGGCAGGTTAGCAACACACTCGGATCATCACTGTGACAAAGCCTTTCCATCAGTGCTGCTATTACTTACTGCTTTTTCCTCTTAATGGTAACCCAGAAGTCTGATGGACAGGGTGAATAGGAGCAGAAGTGCTTTTCCAGCAGGGAAGCACCTTCATAAATACATTAGGCAATGAGTCTGAATTGGCATTGTGGGAAGTACTGTGCATGACTTCTGATGCTTCTTTTTCTGCCTGTAAGGGCTTCTGCTGTTTCCAAATGCAGCCAAGCTGTCCTGAGAATTGTGTTGTGAGTTCAGCCACCCTCACTTCAGTCTGGATGGTGTGTTCTGCCTACATACACAAATAGGGTCGATTTTATTTTTTTTCCCTTGCCTTCCTAATTCTTTCAATTCCCCCACCTGCGTCTCCAGAAGAGCTGGTGATGTAGACCAAGGGATTAGATGAATACAGTTGCTTTTAGATGAGAGACTGTTTGTCTTTCTCTTTGCACCCTTACAAATATAGAAACACTCTATAGACAATATTTAATGATATTTACATAAAAGCTGTACTGTTAATAGATTAACATTGTCATCTACCTCTTAAAATTGATAGCTATCTCAATATGCAATATGTGCCTTCTCACTCTAAACTGGTTTTGGAAGTCTACTTAGGATACTTAGGCCAGTCTAGCATTGTTAACAATTGTGTAATGTTTTCTAACTTAATTTATAAAAAAACTTGAGATTGAAAAAAAGAATTCTTACTATGCTGTTTTAAAAAAATCAAGTATCTTCTTTCTTCTGTTGCTAATATTCTAAGTGATTTTATATTCTAAAATTCTGGAGCTTTGTGTCTATATTCTCACATCCCAACCTTTTGCTCATGAAGGACTCCAGAATGGTTTCAAGAACATGATGGGATACCAAGCATAGAGATTTTCAAGTTATCTATGTCTTTTGCATGATTATAAATAATAATCTTTTAGAATTGCTGACACACAACAACAACAAAAAAAAACCAAAACCAAAACAACTCAAGAGAAAATGAAAAAAAAAAAAACCAAAATCAAAAGGCCACCAAGTGAACAACCAAATTCTAATAATTATAAAAATTATAAAACAAATAAATGAACACTAAGAAAAAAAGTTTCCACAAAACTCTGCTGCTAATATAATATAATTTGAAAATAAATGGAAATCAAACCTTTGCCAAGTGTCATCTGCTCTGTTTGCATTTCTGTGTTGGGTTATATTCTTAAAAACAAATTAGTAATGTAATTTTGACAGATGCTAAGTTTTCCAGTAGGGTATCGCAGTAATATTTGTTTTGATGAGCAGTCATGAGCTTGCTGGAGAAAGAGGATGGTGAAGAGTTTGATTTACTCCTCAATGCTAAAATGGAGTTATTTGACAATGAAAGTTCAATTGGATCACTTAAAGCATATTCTGAAGATAATTTTAGAGTCTTAGGATATTTCTAAATCCTGTCATCTCTGCAGCATTTTTTTAATCTTCTTGTCCAAATCATCCATCTATCAAATCTCTTTTAGTGGAAAAAAATATAGGATTCAAAAACCACTGTCTACCCAAAGTGTTTAAGTGTTGCCCTGATTTTTAAAAATGTTTTCTTTTATAGTTCTTTTGAAAGTTTTAAAGTTCTCATAAAACTTCTTTAACCTTCTTAATGTTTACATATTTGGGAGTCAGAGTTCCCACACAATTTAATGTATAAATAGAATAGCTTACATATTTCTCTGTAGGTAGAGAGAAATAATTGATTAATCTTCGGACTAGTGTGGTTGGAGAGGTGGTAATTCCATCCTCCAATCCATGGTCACCTTTAGAATTCTATAAATACCAGATGTTTGAATAAAACTGGGTCTTTTTCTTTTAAACTTACCAAGCTTCTGTGTACTCATTTCATGTCCAATAGCGATAGTTTAAACACTTACTTAGTTTGTGGTGAATTAATATCTTTATTGGATTTGTGTGGCCAGATTTTGGTGATGGGGGCTACAGGGCTGGCTTCTGTTAGAAGATGCTAGAAGCTTCTCTCATGTCTGGCAGAGCCTGGTTGACCCAGAGCCAACCTGCTCCTGACTAAGGCTGAGCCCATCATGAAGGACAGTAATGTCTTTGTAGTAACACATTTAAGAAAGAGAAAAAAAACATTCTTGGGCAGAGCAACATCTATGCAGACACCAAGTGAAGGAGTGGGAGGAGGCACTTCAGGTGTTGGAGCTGAGATTGTCCTGCTGGAGCTGTGCCCCTGCAGCCCATGGAGGGCCATGGGGATGCAGAGATCCACCTGCAGCCTGTGGAGGATCCTCATGCCAGAGCAGGTGGCTGCCTGAGATGAGGCTGTGAACCCATGGGAAGCCTGTGCTTGAGCAGGGTTGTGACAGGCATGTTTGGAGAGAGGAGCCCATGCTAGGGCAGGTTTAATGGTGGGACTTGTGACCCTGTGGAGAACCCATGCTGGAGCAGGCTGTACCTGAACTGCTGCCCCCTGTGGAAGAGCAATCCATGTTGGAGCAGTTCATGGAGAGCTGTTGCCCACAGAATGGACTCAGATTGGAGAAGTTCATGGAGAACTGGCTCCCATGGGAGGGACCTCATATTAGAGCAGGTGAAGGCCTCCTCTCCTTGAAGAGCAGGAGAAACCACAGGTGATGAACTGACCATAGCCCCCATTCCCTGTCTCCCTGTGCCTCCCTGGGGGAGGAGGTAGAGTTTGGGAAGAGAAAGGTGGAGAGAAGGTGTTTTTGAGATATGTTTTACTTTTCATTATCCTGATCTATTTTTATTAGTAATAAATTCAGTTAATACCCCCAATTTGAGTCTCTTATGTCTGTGGTGATATTTGATGAGTGATCTCTCCTGGTCGTTATCTCAACCCATGAAGCTTAGGCTTTGGTTTCTTCTCCCTGTCCAGTTGTGGAGAGGAGTAACAGCATAGCTTTGGTGGACACCTGGAGTTTGGCCAGGATCAACCCACCAAAATATCTTCAGGGATATTTGTTTAAAAATCACTAATGGGTCAACCCCCCAGTAAAAAAATCACTTTTCTGCAGCATTTTAGAGTCTAATCTAACACTACTTTTTTTTTTATATATATTTTTTGAAAATTTCTTCTAATACTAAACAGTGAAAGAAAGGTCGGTGTTTATTGCATCTTTATATTCAAGAGCTGTAGCTCTCTAGTCAGTAGTCTTCTATCACATTTTCCAGAAAATTTGAACTGATGTCTTGATTTTGCTCTGGTACTATGCTAATAAATATTTATCTTGCCTAAAAGTTCAGTTGGTTTGCCCACATAATGTTAATTTATGGTTTGCCTACAGTGAGATAGGTTCTGAAGTGTGATAGTCTGACAGCTTATCCCTGTTCTCTCTATTGTTGCAGAAAAGGAAAAGCTAAGGTCTGTGGGCTGTGAATGTCATCACGTTTAGAAATGTTAGTTAATTGGATTAATAAAAAAATCCAAAACCCAAGCCAGAAGGGTTTGTTCTTTGTGTGATTATATTTTATATTCTCATTATACTTCTAGAGCCTTCCCTAAGTACAGATTTTATTTGAGGCAGGTCTTATGAGGAGCATATGAAAGAGCTGGGACTGTTTAGCCTGGAGAAAAGGGGGCCCAGGGGGAATCTCACTACTCTCTACAACTGCCTGAAAGGAGGTCGTAGCCAGGTGAGGGTTCATCTCTTCTCCCAGGTAACCAGTGGTAGAGTAAGAGGAAATAGCCTTATGTTGTGCCAGGGAAGGTTCAGATTGGCTATTATGAAAAATTTCTTCACTGAAAAGGCTTGTCAAGTCCTGGAACCAGCTGTCTGGGGAAGTGGTGGAGTCACAATCCTTGGAGGTATGCATGTAGTTGTGGCACTGAGGAAGATGGTTTAGTGGTGGACTTGGTAGTGCTGGGTTAAAGGTTGGACTCAATTGACTTTGAGTTCTTTTCCAACCTCAATGACTCTATGATTCCCACATTTGACCAACTTGGTCAAATGCTAGAATTGTCTTTTGTTTAAACAATATCCCACTTACTTGTCATCACTTGTGATGCCTTCCCTTTTCAGCAGCTCTGACAGATTTTTCTCCTGGAAAATATATATTACTGAAATATTGTTGAGTTGTGTTTTCAGTGTATATCCCCTCATATTGGTTTATCCCTCCATATCCCCTCCTTGTACCTGTGTAGTCCACCCCAGTTTTCCCCTCCTTTGCCCTCCGAGAGCCAGTCCCATGTCCTTCCCCCATTGGCTGTTCAGTTTTCCCCATCCTCCCTATATCTGGCTGCTCTGGGTGGGGCTCCCTCTCTTTCTCGGGAGGTCCTTCGAAGCCATATGTGGCCTGGGACATCTCCAGGCTCTCATTAAACTTTGGAACTAATCCTGAGGGAAAGCACCTCTTTCCTTTGCTTGTGGGACCAGCTCATCTTTGGACTCACGAGGGAGCTTCTCCAAGCCCCCCGGGATCCAAGGAGAAGTTCCTTCCCTCTGCCCACCTCGCCCCACTGCCCAGCTGGCCGGGCTCCACAGGGGTTTTGTCCCCGTGGATTTAAGGAAGAGACGCAGCAGGCTTGCAGCAAAATATTTTTCTCAAGAATATGTAATGTTCTGCACATTCCAGAGGGAGAAAACATGCATATTTTCTATTGGGTATATCTGAAGCTATTTTTAATAGAATACTTCTAGTAAGATTGATACATCTTTCCCCCAAATCCCTTACTAATAGAACATTATTTGTGGTGTAATCCGAAAATTTTTTTTTTTTTTTTTTCTGTTAGTAATCCCCACTCTAACTTATGGAGATTGACCAAGGCTTTTGTATCAACAATTTCATTGTCCCAGCTGAAATCTTGGGGAGTGTAAAAACAAGACTGGATTAGAATGACCTAGATGCATGTGTGAACTTGATGAGATGCTCTCAAAGCAGTTATTAAAAGTCACAAGGTAAATTTGTCTAGTGATACATTCTTAGTTACGTAAAACAAAGTATGTAGCTGAGATGTTCTACACTTGCAGTTAGAGCAAAGACTAACAGAAGCAGAGGCTGCTTATTTGGGTTCCTATCCCTCTCTGGGTCACTCTTCACTTGAAAAAACTGTAGCACCTGCTGTTTCAACTATTTTAATTGATTATATTTTCTGGGGGACTGAAGATAGTATACAAATTACTTGTATAAACTTGAATTCTTCCAGCAGACAGGAAATACAGGAAATCCTGAGTGCCTACCACATTTTTTTATCCTGTTTTGTGATTGAAATATATTAATAACTTTAGTATGAGACTGTCCCAGTCTGTTCTATGCTCCTCAGTTTTACCAATAATAGCTGCAGTTGTCAAGGCAGCCTTTCATACACACATCCATTTCGTAAGGAAGGCAGATCTCAAGTTAAAATTGCACCCCTTTTTGCAGTGATGCAACATATCTATCACCATCTCTGTGGTCATGTGCCCACAACAAAATATGTGTAAGCAAGCAATTAAACTTCTGTTGCAGGACAACTGAAGGGCAAAGCCTTAACCAAGGTTTGCATCTGCAAGAATTGCACAACTGAAGCTTGCTCTTAAAACAATATGTTTTTCATATCCCTTGCTTGATTTACCATGTCTGCTTAAAAATCAAAGCTAATACATGATGCATTGTTGTGTACAAGTGGGTGGTGGAAGCAATAGGTTATTTGCTTGTAGAGATGAAAGAAAACCTAACACTTGGTATCCTTTGGTGTAATG